AACTCAAGATTAACTGTATAGCTTGAACCATACTTCTAAATGATATTTGACCAATTTGTGATACTTGAGCTGCTATATTTATGAATTGTGTTGTATAATAATGCTTATCTTTCATAATCATTGCCTGAATGGTTGCATTTAAGCTTTGCGAATCTGCAAGTTGAGATTTATATGCAGTAGCACGTACTTTTGAGATATGTCAACTCTTTTTACACTTATAATGTGATAATGTTTCCACTAATTGTTTGACTTTATTAATTTTTTTAGCATTCGAATTTTCCAGTTAATTTATTTTTTTTGCAAGGTTTTGTTGTTTTGAACTAATAAGCCAGAATCTTGATGCAGCTTGTAAAAAAACGTCTTTATAAAGTTTAATGTCTTATCTTATAAAAAAGGTGAAAGCAGTTTATCCTTATTTGTCCCTTTATCATACCTTATTTTGTTAAATAAATAAGCTGCAGGCTTCAATTGATTATCGGATAATTGTTCAATCATATTGACTAATTTTTGGCAAAGCGTCATTCGGTTTGTTTTTTCATTATTGGTTAATTGAACGATGTTTTGGTAAATTAACTGTAATTTATTGTCATCTATTTGGGTTAACATTTGACTAATATCATAGATTTGTTTGTTACGTTGGGCAGCTTTTCATACATCTGCTGATGCTTGACTTGCTTTACGTGTATAAGCTTTTCGCTTGGATACTTTCGGTATTTGGTCTAATATGATATTATAATTTATCAATTTTTATAGACAATTCACGAAAGGCCAAATAACAATCTTACATTTTTTTGGCAATTAATATAGGAATGTTTAATATTTGACCCACTTATATGTTCTTTCGCCAAATCGCTTTTTTATTAATAATTTTCATTCTAACTGCACTTAGTACTTCAAAGTTATATAATGATTCTGGTTAATAACTTTCACCCCAACTGCACTTAATGCTTCAAAGTTGTATAATGATACCGGTTAAAGTAGAAGTTTGTCAAAATTCTAATTGAATCTCTTATATAGTTTTAATGTATGCAACATTACATCACTGATAAGTTAAATTAAGCTCTAAATTCCTTAATTTTATCGATCATGATAATCTTGATTACTAATATTGACAAAAATAATTTCAAAACGATTCAACTTCTTGTCAAGGCATCAAATTACCTTGAAACTTTCACAAATTGCTTATA